TATATCTTATAATATCTATGGTGAATGTTCAAATTTTTTGTCTCAAGGATGTTGTTTCAATGCATCATTTTTTTAGGGCTTTATGTCTAAATATTCATGTTTCCTTGTCTCCTTTGGTTTGTCGATTAATTAATTGGTTGTCCATTAATTTCCATCACTGAAGCATAATGTTTTCATAGATGAATTTCTCCATTTCATGGGTTCTGTGTCTTACAGATACTATGTTTCATGTTTGAACGCCCATGTTTTACAATTTCAAGCCATCGTGTTTAAGAGTTTGATCCTTGTTGGCTAAATTTCCATGTTTCATTGTTTTGTTTTGCTTGCTTACAAGTTATTGTTGAATCTTCATATTCCTATATTTCATAGTTAAAATTACATGTTCTATAAATTGTTTCATGCCTTAATTCGTATGTTTCTTACATGGTTTATGATTGAATTTCCATATTTTATCTTTTTAATAGATAAAACTTCATGTTCTGTAATGTTCATGTTTTACGGCTGAATTCGGATGTTTCTTCTATGTTTTATGGTTGAATTTAATTTTTTTTTTAGAGTTTTTTTCAACTTTTGTAGCTGAATTTCCATGTGTTTTCTGTGGCATAGAGTGTCTACATTTTATTATTTCCACGTTTCACGGTTATTATTCTTAAAGGTAAGCAATTTCTTGTATATAGGAATATAGTGCTAAAGCAGAAAATAAAAATTAAACATAAAAACTCAGGTTGAGTAGAGAGGTTAAACAATTGGGCTTGATTTGAATTTAATTTTAAATTAAATTTATTAATTAAATTTAAGGTGAAAAAGCACTAACTGAACATTTACTACAAAACAAGGCATGCACCCTGTCTTATAACTGACATATTTCAAGGTGCTGGAATCTGTTAACATTAAGTCCTACCAGCCTCCTCTCTGTAAGAGTTATATCTTTATATAACATTTGGTCTTTGGGGTATATATTTAGTCACTGTGTATATTTTTTCATCCTCGATTTATCTCTAATGAAGGAGGACTGATAAACTTGTATAGTCATATTTTTTTAAATTGTGTTTTAAATTCAATATGACCACTTTACGGTAATATCAGCTCTTGTTACACATTTTTATTAAGTTGTCATTATGTTTTATTACCCATTGCTAATCACTTTAATAAAGTTAAATTCTGAATTATATTTTTGAATAATAATTTATATTGCCCTCTACGTTGAAAGTCATTGAATAATGTGCAAAATTAGCAGGATGGATGCCAAGTTACACGATTAGAAACGCCTCTTGGTAAATACTAAACATTTTACATAGACAATAAGAGAAACGCAAATAAAATATGATATACTGTGCATTTTATTCAAGATTACTTCATCTCAGTAACCTTTACGGTTAATTGGTCTAGCTATAAACATTCATCATCAATCGATACTATTAAAAATAACAACTTACGTGCTGGCTGAGGTTGTTGGCTATTTAGCACCGGTGGTCATAATTTAAGCTAAAGTTAAAACCTTGAGTCTTCAATACCGATTCTGAAGGCGGCTTCCAAGCTTAGAACTTTGTCTCGACAACATGTTCTTGTGTTTTGTTAAATTTATTTCAATCATTAGCAAGATAATGCATATGCGGAAATGAGCTATATAAATAAATAATCAATCCAGTTCATTTTTATTAAGAATCTGTGTTTGACAATATTCTTTCAGGAGTGATATGCATTGTTCTTCGGAAGTGAATGCTGTTGCATTCACCCGAACCGTGTATGAGACGAGATACAGACCTGAATGTAACATGACACTTAAAATAAGACATGCAGAAATTTATGAACCACTTGACACCCCTCAGGTTTAAAATTATCTCAGATTAAGATATACATGTAAACCTCCCAAATTTAAAATCTCAAACAGATGATTTACATGCAGACTATTGTCCTCATCTTTGTTGTTGGTATCACAAAGTTTAGGACATTGTGTTCTCCAACCTACAACAAATGTCAGTCTACGGAACTCCATACTGAATTCTTTATTTAATCTATGTTTGTAAAAGATTTTTATTCCATTGCCCACGTCTAGGGATATCATGTTTTGATCTTGCATTTGCTAATGTTCAGTTATTGCTCATTTTCAATTACAAGTACACACTGCCCGGTCCAGGAATCGAACTTATAATTTGTATTCTTTTTTTTTTTTTCTTTTTTTTAAATATTGGTCACCATATATAAGGCCTAGGAGTCACTCGAGATAGAGGGTTACGGATTGAGTTTGCTGTGTGAATTGTAGAAGTAATACTTAAGAGGCGTACATTATGAGGATATAAGGGAAAGATAACTCTGGATTCAAACAATTTAAGATTGGAGTCCTCAGAGAAGCATCTGCTTTGAGATCGATTCCACAAATTAGCCGTTCATGACAGGAATTTATTGAAGTATAACCTAATTCTTCATGTCACATCAAGTTGAGGTTGAAGTCCATAACACTGGAAGCCATAATACGTAGCGGCAATGAGTTTTAATGACTCTAAATACATAAATGCATTTCTTTTTATTGAAATTTTAGTTTCCTTTCGATCAATTCTACTTTTCGTCTAGAGGCTTGAAATATTTGGACGTTGTATTTTTAATATCATGATGTATTTCAAGTTTATATTTCTCTTCATGCTAGGAGCCTGTAAATGTGATAGCTTGCATTACAGCCCTCAATAGGCAGACATAATCTACATCTATCTTTCCGGGTTTCTTCAATTTCCTGTCCTTCATGGCTTTCAATAAATTGTATTTTATTTTTATCTCCTAATCTTTGTTCCGCCATCCATTGACACAACAAGCTCTTTAGTCAGGTTATGTGTAGCTTTCCAACGTTTCTCTTGCCTTCAGTATGTCCTGTGAGGTTTACATTTTCTTAGCTTTCTTTCTTCATTATATGCCTTTTTGATACTACATATATGTGTCCTTTTGTCGCAATTTTCTTGAAAACTTTCTCGTTGCTCACATGTTCTGACCATGATGTTCACACCATCCGTCTGTATAACCTAATCTTCGTAACCTCATGTCTCTTCATCATCTGTGATGAGGTGGCCCAGGATTCGCTGCCATATGGGTGAACCGATATTACATAACAGGTCAGCAATCGTTTTCTTTGTTTCTAACAAGATTTCCTTGTTTCTTTATACTTTGTTTACCTTTGGGAAGGCCTCTTTCGCTATCACAAAGCACCGATGGATTTCCCTGCTGCATAATCCGTCCTTTGTCCTACATTTTTGTAATTGCTTGATGTCGACATCCCCAGTTTGCAAATTGCATGTAATTTTGCCCCATTTGCTGACAACCATGTATATTGTTTTCTCCTTTATTCTCATTTTCCTTTACTAACTTTTGTAGGCATTACCGCAGTTTCCTTTCTTTTTCTGCTCTCAACGAAGGGTCTAGTTTTTTTTATTTATCTATGATGAGATTTTTCCAGGCATTCACTGGGATACAGGGGGACATTTATTACATAATAGCTCAGTCTGAAATTAGATTGTCAAATATTAATTTAAAATATTAAAACTTCTAAAAATAAAGCAAACATATATATTACCCGAGTGGCTAGATTTTTTTTTCTACATGTCACTGTATACCGAAGTTGATTCCCTGTTTATGTACAAATATTACTGAAGAAGAAGATAATTTTTTTCTAACCATTGTTTCACATAAAACATTGATTGATAGATATGTATTTGGATGCTGGCGATTATTTGAAATAATTTAGAGAAAAAAAACAATGATTGAAGTGTAAGCCTAAAAGTTTTTCTTTGGTTTTCGTTTTTATAACTCAAAAATAAAGACTACAACGAAAAAAAAAATAACGTTTATCCTTCAAAAAGAAACGATCCGAAACGACTTCAATCTTAAAGAGTCACTGTAATGTTGGTCTCGAAGTTTCCAACCACTTTTCGATTTAGAAACCAACACTCCATCGGTTCTTTTTTGCCTTTCATCATAACTTTGCCTCGGTAGTCCAAGTTGAAACTGTCGTCCTGGCTTTCAGTTATTTGCAGGCATCTGTAATAGAAATCGAAAGAAGGGTTACTACGTTAAAGTCGATTCCTGAAGCTGAAGAAATTAAGAAGGCTTATTGCAAACGTGACCTTTATGCTTCGAACGAAGATCAAGTTCATTCAACAACGCTGACCTATGAAAACGGAAATATTTCCAGAGTTTTCGTTCTGTTTATCTTTACTAACAAATGACAAACACAGTCAAGGAAGATTGTGTAGCATCAATATTCTAATGCACACGCACATTTTGAATATCTGAATCCTCCAGTAATCCCAACTGCTCGCACCAGTGTAAAATACTCACTACAAAATAATAACACCTACTCAGACACATACACCCAAGAGATAGCCGTCATGAGAATGATGATATATTACATCTAGCAGCAAAGCCTCTGATCAGAAAGTTTTGAGGAATATGAAACTACCTCTTAAATGCTTTTGTTCTCAGATGAACCCATACCCGAGTTCTTAGCCCCGAAACTAAGGTCAAAACACTATAAAAATATAAAAATAGATATTTGTAGTGGGAATACCAGCAATACATATTTGAAAAAATATATTTCCAGCAATACATTTTTCAAAAATAAAATATTACTAGCAATACATTGACAAAATCCCACTTTCCAAAAATACCGCATTGAAACATGATCTAAAAACTGATTCCTTACAAAGAAGACATACTCTATTTACACGAACCTATCCTAAAAGATCTTGTCAGCATTAAATAGTTGATTGAGGTCGATATGCTGTAAAACAAAATAAACCCAACCCTAAGTTATGAACCCAAATACACGATATACAGAAATAAAAAATACTTTCAGATTATAATTGATTCATTGCAAGAGATACATTTTTTAAAGAAGGTTTTCGGTCGGCAGAATGTCAAGATTTTGTAAATCAATAATTAAGGCAGATGGTTGTTTTATTGATAAAAATAAAATATGATGCTTGTGAATATGATGAATTGTGTGATATTAAATTGTCAAATTAAAAGCAAATACACAGTAGATATTGAAACTGTATCCAATACTTTAAACAATACGAAAATAACTCATTTATTTTTTTTTTAAATAAATGCAGAGTGGCCTCAAATGTTTTGACTGTATACAGTGTCTAGTCTCCTTTTCGACACCGTGGCCAACTTGCCCAAATGTATGGTGCTTGTGTCGCATGGTAACGGTCCGGGATCGATTCTCAGAGTTGGTTGAGGATTCGCACTGCTGATGAGTCCAACGGCCCTCCAGTGCTTTCCGTGCATGTGTGTGTCTGTGTGCGTATGTGTGTTGAGGATTCTAGGTCTAGACATTATGAATTATTATGGATAGTTTATATTCAGTTTTAAAAAATGCGCTTTTTATTGATGTTACGTTGATTTCTTCTTCTTTGTGTGTTTGTACATGCATGTGTGTACCCATGTCTATGATGTGTGTGTACGCCTGACATCGGACTTATTTTTCGGCTATTTTTGGTGAATATTCAGAGATTTTCTTAAGTTTTCAAAATATACGTTTATTCTGTTTATTATTCGTTAATGCTTAAATGACAAAGTAGATATTTTGTTGCCATTTAAGCATTATTCTTTTTTTTTAATTATTTAAGTATATTTAAAAATATTAAAATATTGTCAGTGGATAATTTGCTGTATTTTTCTATTTTCAAGGCTGTTTTCGCTGTGTCTATTTTTGGATCAAATTTCTCAGTATTTTACCCTTTTATTATCTTTTCCTTCATTTTTACAATGCTTTTAGAGAAAACCTTGTGCAACATGATATTTCTATGGGAAACCTTACTTAGCAATTCTGAGAAGATCTTATCAATTTTTTATTCTTCTCTAAATTAAATATTTTTTTCCTTTTCTGTTCACCCATTGTAGATGTTACGGCTGTTTTAAATACCAATTTGTCTTTATGTTATGCCCTATATATATATATATATATATATATATATATATATATATATATATATATATATATATGTTATGCTTTATATATATATATATATATATATATATATATATATATATATATAATATAATATAATATTTTTTTGTTTAAAATATAAATCATTCGCTACATAAGAGTTCCCATGTTTCAAAAACGAAAGCGAAGGGATCATATTTTTAAACAAAAAAAAATATAATATAAGCTCTACTTCTGTATGGAGGACTGTCTTCTTAAAAATAAAAATAAAAATACTAAGGAACACCGGATTATGCACTCAACGTGTTCTTTTCTATTTTCTGCATACCTGCGCACAGTAAAATTGGCTAAATTGTGTACCAGCATGGGAAAAATATTTTTATATTTAAAAAAAAAAAAAACACGAAACTAATTGAGTTTCTTTTCCCCGGTTTTTCAGATAAGACGTATAGCCATCTTGACATCATTTTTCGAAAGATTTCCTGAAAAAAAACATCTGATTTTATTCAGCTAGAAATCGAACTGTTTCAAAGAGTTTTGTATCAGCCCTAATATAGCTTCCAAACTGAGCAATGCTGACAGGTAAAGGATAATCCATATTTTCAGTAACGGTACGAACATTCATACTCTGGCTTCCATATTCAAAGTCCATTCAAGAGAAATATGAATAAATTCAAAAAGGCGGGAACAGTAGAGAGGTAAACTCGATCCGGAAGTCACAACAGCAAAAGGAATCATCATTTCCACTTAGTGATAAATAGATTCCTATTGCTCAAAGTAGAGTGCAACAGTGTAATAAAAACCTGGAGGATTTCCAGTAAGATATCTTTAATCATTTTTAAGACACAACGGTTTTAAAACATAATCTAGACAATTTTGCTGTTACACAATTTGGACAATTTTTCTGTTTGCACACGGTATATATATATATATATATATATATATATATATATATATATATATATATATATATATATTGAATAATATAGACATGTTCTGTCTATTTATTTTTTTGTACTGATACACTCAAGCTTTCTAATCAGTTTCATGAGAAGATGAAATTCATCAACATAGGTGAAATGGCCTTTTATAATTTAAGTACTTTCGATATTTTTCAAGATCATCTTCAGAGGAAAATTACAAAGACAAAATTATTTTTATTTACCGATGAAGATTATCTAATTAGAGAACTGTCAAGAATCAGTATTACAATAAATGGACAAAATATGCTTATATTAATCAATGAAACATGTTTGAATGAAGATATGCCACATGTAATGGACAAGTTCATTGAATAATACGGCTTTGGTCCCAAACTAAGTTATTCGTTTCCTATATAAATGACACTAATGGCATCGTATTCTTTTATGTGCCATGTTCCTTCAGAATGTAAGCAATCATGATTCTCCACAACGTCTATCTTTTATCGATTATATATATATATATATATATATATATATATATATATATACTACAGTTTAAAAAGTCTGAGCTCTCCCTCGTATTTTTTAAATTGGCCCCAAAATAGTTGTTTTGTACTTTAGATAAGAGAAAAATTATTATATATGTTTAAAAAAGTCAGACATGTTTTTTATTAGAAATGACAAAAAGAAAAAAAAAGGCATTTTGAATTTTACTCTCTTCAAAATATCCTCCTTTAGCCTTGATTACTGCAGCACAAATCCTTGACATTCGTTGCAAATGTTTCACAAAGTATAATTTGGATACTTGGTTCCATTTCTTTTTCAATTACACTAAGAGATCTTTTTCATTTTTTTTCACTCTTCATTCAACTTTATCCCATACCAATTCTGAGGATGGCTTCAAACTTTTGAACTGTAGTTTATACACATGACTGTTTTGATTTCTGTAGAGAAACAAATAATTCACTAATCCAACCAAAACGATTTTTTTTTAATTCAGAAAGAAACCTTCACACTTAGCTCAACTAAAGAAAGAGAGGATGTTGGATAAATTTACCTGTATGTATATTCGGAAACATTAATTTTTCCTTTCACCCCTGTCGTCTCTGTCCGACTGGCTAGGTTGACAGTGTTGCCAAACAGACAATAACGAGGCATCTTTTTACCTATGACACCTGTCACAACCTCACCCGTGTGAATGCCAATTGTTATCTGCAATGAGAAACGCAAAATCATAATAAGAAAGTGTATTTTCTTAAAGTCTAAGATGTTCTATTTTCTAGACTATTTACATTGTTCGAACTGTTCTCCTCAGCTTTCTTGCCATATTCACGAACTTTAGGCCGACCTTCTTCGGGGGATTGGGATTTTCGAACTGAAGCATTTATTATCGTCCACCGAGGTAGATTTTTCTAGTTCCACGTGCCATGCCTCTTTCGGATCTTTCAGTATCAGTTACCTCCCTTTAACTCAAGTGTTTTTTTGTATGCCTCAGCTGTAGCCAGGTATTGAACACACAACTCTTTGGATCAAGTCACTGGATTCAACCAACCCTTTTATTCAATTTGCCATTTCACTAGCTGGACAATATGGGCTTTGTCAGGGCTACACATGGTTTGTGAATTCTACTCGCTAAACAAAACTGAAAGACCACTATTTAATCCATAGGTGATGAGGTGGAGAGAAGATAAAGATTCATATCAATTCCAATGTTTTTTTGTGCAAATATCAGTACATCAAAACTCAACTAGCATTCGAACTTAGCATGCTGATTTCTTGTTCAATACAGCTTTTAATTAAACTCTTCCCAGAATTTAAACACAACCGACACATCTTTCTTATTCCTTGATTTGTTTTTACCTTATCGTCAGTAGCTTAACAGGGTCTTTACTAGTTTCGCTGTGAAACTTACTGATTTCTCGCTAGCAATTAAACACTCAGAACGTAAACACAACCCGCACATCTTTCAATAAGCAGACCGACCATATGTCAAGATTTGAAGTGGCTTTTCTTATTGGCAGGAGCTTGACTTATTATGACGCAGCCTTTTGCCAATTTTGCTGTGAAGTCTTTATTTTCAAATATCACTAAAATATACTTTATTTGTATATTTCTTATTCATTCAATTCCTTTCCTTACAGCCATAGACTAATAGTATCTGATGTATTAGTCGGCAGATATCTTACTTGATACATTGTTGATCATTGCTCATTTTACCGGCTTTTTTTCATTGATTTTTACAGCACCATTATTTCTTGTCTAACAATTAAAGAACTACATGAATAACAGATAAAGAAACAGAAACGGTGCGATCAAAAGAGGAATCGGTTTTCGCCGTTGATTTCTTTTACTTTGAGAGTTCCTTGACCAATTCTGCTATGAAGACATTCTCTGATGCCCTTCAGTTAGGACATGCATCTATATTTTTTACTAATCCAATCACTACTACACAACCATATACTCGAAGTAACAGAATGTAATAGCCTATTCTCACTTAATTGAAACCTTGTCGATCAGTGTTCATTTTTAACTTTTTATCATTTTACCCCAAGCAATGTAATAATGTCATTAGTACTCAGACAAAAAAATTAACGCGATTCATACAGATAGAAGAAGGCGATTAACGTTACATTTACATTTTTGAAGATTATGGTAGGGGTGCAAGTAAACGAATGCGAGTGCCACTGGGGAGAAGTGCGAGAAAATAAAATGTTGGAGTAGAAGTGGCGGTTGCATTTAGCTATTTCAAAAGTAAAATGGTGTAACCTTGATGCCAATCTTGTATCACACTTAAATTCGTGTAGTCGGGAAACCAGGGGAGAAAAGAATCTCGTCAGAGCAGCTGCCATGAAAATATTTGTAGAAAAGACATAGGGAAACCAAGTCACGTTAGTGAGAAAGTGACTGAAGTCGAGATGTTTCGTCAGGATCTATTACATCACAGATCATTCTTTAGATTTTGTCGAGAATCTCGAGATGTACAGCAGAAACACCAGACCAGATATGGCCGCGGTATTCAATGCACAGACGAATGGTAGATTTGTAAATGTGAAAGATGGATTCTGACGAGAAAGATTTTCTGAAACAATACAGCAAACCAGCTTTCTACCATTTTATATTGCTCTTTGCGACATTTTTTTTATTATTGAGCAATCATTATAAAAGCTACATATATATATATATATATATATATATATATATATATATATATATATATAAATGAGCAAACGGTCTGTGAGATTTGAACTACAGTTTATTTTTTCTTGTAAGCCAGTATTTCTGTGAGAGATGCTTTACGCGATTGGCTATGAAAACGTTATATCCAGATGTTACTCAAATAATTCAATTAATACTACACAGCCAAAAACTTGTAAGATTTAATTCAAATTTTATTGTCTACGAACATCATGAGTAAAGCATTGTCTTTCTCCAACGTTTGTAGTATCCATACCAATTTGTGTATTGTAAAATCCAATACTATCCAGATAACTTAAACTTTTCAGTCCCTACCACCAAATTGTCTGTTCCGGGCTATCATCTAATTTATCGAAAGGATTCTATCGTGCGCATTCATGGCTTCGGTGTCTATGTTTAGGAAGATCTCCCAATGATGTATATGTTTCAATATTTCAATTAATATACACAGCCATACAATGGTAATACCGGACAATGTGCAAATGGTAGACATGGTCAAATGTGTCCCCAATATGTAAGACGATTTTTCCAATTACATTATTACCTAACTTCATTCTTCGGCAATGTTTATTGTTTTAAAAAGAGATAATTGGAATAAATCTCTATCTATAAAAGGCAGTGTGTGTGTGTGTGTGTGTGTGTGTGTGTGTGTGTGTGTGTGTGTGTGTGTATGAGTGCACGGCCGCAATTTTCGACGGATTTGTACCAAAATTTACATGCACATGATCCAAGTTAGCCGGAAGGCCAAGACCGACTTTGCATTTCCCAACTTCCATCGATAGTGGAAATAATCGATTTTTTCATGCTTCTACGGCAGTTTTCATGTAGTTTGCGGCCATTTTGTACTGGCCAGAGGGAGAGCCTATAGCTGGCTGCCACGAATAAGCAGAAAGATTCTATTGGCCAGCGTGAGAGCCAACAACTGACTGACACGAATGTTAACTAGCATGCTAGCATGCAAAAAAAAAATCGATAGCTGCATTCGTCACAAGTGGGAAAAATTTAAATCTGCATGGCACTTTACTCCAATTGGCTCATTCGCTTGCTTAAACTCAACGTTTATTCTGATTCCGCAGAACTGGGTTGGGTGTGGGAAAGAATTTGTTGTTAACATTCTTTTTTCATTCGGTTTTTCCAGTTACGACTCCTTTTTTAAAGCTGATCGTTTTGTGTTCATTTTGTTTAGTTCTTTCTTTCATAACAGATTTAATGTTTAGTATAAAACTTAGAAAAAATTCTCAGTGTGAGATAAGCAAGAAGTAAGGCATGTAGCAACATCAGCACAGCAAAGGAGCACTCCTTTGAAGGCAAGAAAGGGCAAAAATATTTTAAGTCAAGTGATAGAGATTGCTGTATGAGTCGTACGATTTTTTGAATAAAGCACGGGCAACGCCGGACCATGCTGCTAGTCTAAATCTATGATAAATTGGAATTTATACAATTTTGTTCTTGAGAAATGAAAAAAACATTATACACTATTTATTTATTATATTGTTTATTTTCAAGAATTATTTTATCTTTACAATTTTCTAAAAACTAATAGAATTTGAACTGTATTGCAATGTTTATCGTTTGCAAATATATAAAGAAATAAATAGAAAAACTTAAATTTATAAACATTTAGTAAAATATGTGAACCAGCACCAAGGAAATCCTCATTATATTTCATTTTATAAAGTTTGAATCCATTGGCAATTAGCCAACGTTTAGCCAATCGTTCCAATAAATAATATAATTAATTAATAGTTTAAATAAACAAACTAATAAATAAATCGTCTTTATTATTTTTGTTGTTAATTTTCAAAAACAAAACAAAAATGTTATGGGGTCCTCCCCTTTTCATATAAGTGGACTCTACCAAGTGTACCTGGACTGCTGCCGTTAAATACCCAGAGTAGAGAGTCAGTGAAGGTAGTCGGATAGAGAGAGGATATACGGAGAGAGAGAGAGAGAATATACGAACAGAGATAGAGTGAGGTGACCTCTTGTAGAAGTCAGTTACAAATACGTAGACTCTAAGGAAGTCCTACTTCGAGACTGTATATATCTATCTGTATTTGCTACTAACCGTGTTTCTGGATTTACTAACAGTATTACTCTTTGTATGATTGTGTAAATACATTTTATTTCTTATATTTAATTATTGCGTTTGTCATTCCTTGGAGACCGAATTCATCTCGGAATCCACAACAAAAAATATATAAAAATTAGTTTTAATATGTTCAGGTTTAATTACAATTACAATTCTACTCATCACTTTTTAAATAAAATGAACATTGCCGAAGAGTGAAACGGGTTAAAAAATACGCTGTAATAGGGAAAAAAAAGTTCTTTGCCAGCACGTTTGTCCATGTTTGTCATCCAAACATTGTAAGGGAATCATTGAATTGCACAATAAGACCAGCGAGACCAGTATCTCCTCATACAGAAGGAATCGATTCATA